TTCATAAAAGAGCAACCCAAGAAATCTCTAACATACTCAGGCTTGCATCATGAATTTTTAATTGATAGACATAACGTATTATTCTATTAAAAAGTAGTAAACACTTATTAAACTCCTGAGCATTACATCCAGAATAAACTTCAATACAATAGGTTAGACATTAGCAAAGAATGTGCAATAGTTTTTCGAATAGAAAGTGGTAAATACAAATTTAAGGAATATAATTTCCTTAGAGTAAAATTAATTTTAGAGCTCAGAAAATTAATATGTTGGGAAAAATTTAGATGTTAATCCAGCTGAATAACAAGACATTTGATGCATTCAACGAACTCAATAGGTTCATCATCAACTGTAATAGATAAATGCACTTCGGAACCATGCGATTTAAAAAGCATAGCTTTAGTCTTTGCAGGGTTTATCTTCAGATTATTTTCTCTCATCCATCCAGAAACATTAGATAATATAAGTTTTATATCATATTGAAACACATCAAGAAGCTGAAGATGACCAGAAAATAAAAGTTGTATATCATCTGCAAAGAGAAAAGCCTCACATACTATATACATGTATACATAGGTCATAGGGCCGTATTTGGGATGTATTCATAAATGGGAAACCCATCAGACGACAGTTTCTAACTTTTAGCAATTTTGTCAAGCAAATTTTAAACTTTTAAGAAGAAAATCTGCATGTGACTTATGGACAATAAAGAAGTTAATAATATAGTAAAGAAATTAGGTGGATATCTCTTACATATTAGCGGTACCTGCGATTTGAATTTTAAGAATTTCGAAGAAGACAATTTTTTCAATAACTTGCTAGCACCTATGAAATTTGTTCCATTGTCAGAGTAAATGGCGACAGCTTTCAGAATATGACAAACCGTTCAGAATTCGCAAAATACCCAACCCTTAGTTTCTTACTTCAGTTCAGTCACGATTGATAAAGTTTTGACCAAGTTCTGGGAAATTGAAGATGTACTCACCCAACCTAAAGTTTCAGAAGAAAGTTCTTTATGTGAAGAAACTTTCATGACCACTACCCTTCGATTACCAAATGCCCGTTAACAGGTAAATTTACCATTTATAAACCCTTCTATTGAGTTAGGAAACTCTAGACACGTTGATATGGCTCAATTTCTAGGAAACGGGAAAAGTTTGATGAAAAAGCCAGAGCTTAAAATGGAATATGATAACGTGCTACAAGAGTATATCGATTTAGGTCATATGAAACCAATTAAATATAACCCAAACACGCTTTCAAACATCCATTATTATTTACCCCATCACGCTGTTGTTAAACTTGATCATGTTACGACAAAAGCTCGAGTTGTATTTAATGCATCTAGCAAAACCTCGAACAGCAACAGTCTTAATGATACCCTTCACACTGGTCCTTCCCTACAACAAGATTTAGTTGTACCTATCTTAAAATGGCGCTTTTACAAGATAGTTTGTAGTGCCGACATTACAAAAATGTACCGGCAAATTATGCTAAACCCTACCCACACACCCTTCCAACGAATATTATTCCGTAAAAGCGTCAACGAACCCATCCAAGATTATGAACTGCAAACAGTTACATTTAGGTTAGGTTAGGTTAGGTTGATAGGTGGATGTATACTACATCAAATCCGAAGAAATACACCTAGGCCTTTATCGGGCCTGTTGTGCGCTCCACTTCATGGAAAAAAATTGTTCACTGAATGTATTATTTTTCCATGTTCAGAAACTCAGTTTCCTGGACGTAATTCCAAAGAATCTTCCAATCAGTTCCAATCATCACTTCCAAGATACTTGGATCTATCTTCGACGAATGCCTGACAATGTCAAAGAAAGTGCTCCAGTGTTTCACTGTCCCCTCCACATGCTCTACATTCGTCTGAATCCGCACGTCCAATATTGTATAGATGTGCACGTAATCCTGTATGTCCACTCAGAATACGTACCATCATACTAACCTCAGACTTGCTCATTTTGAGGAGATTTCTCGTCTTGCTCTCATCAGGGTCACCCCATAGAATCTTTGTGGTTCTACCCACAGTTTCATTATTCCAAGAGGCCTTATGGGATTCTCTCATCCATATTTTTAATTCAGCTTTTGTTGCGTCGAATGGTTTTGCGTTTGTCAGGTTAACTACATCGAGCTCCCTTCCCTTTAAAGCTATTACATTCGCCCTTTCGTTGCCGACTACTCCCGAGTGGCCTGGTACCCATATGATGTAAACCTTACCTCTAGGAGAATATTCAGTTAAAGCTTTCTTACAAATCCAATACGGTCTTAGATTTAATTCTATCACCTGATATCGCCCTAATTGCCTTCTGGCTGTCGGTAAATATATTAAGCCCTGTGGGTGCCTTATTTATTCTAAACCAATTTACACATTCCGTTATTGCTCGTACTTCTTCCTGGAAGCTTGTGTTATGATTAGGTAAACGGTGGTATATTTTTGTTTCTGGATCTTCAATATAGAACCCCAGGCCCACTTTGTCCCCTAATTTAGAGCCATTCGTGTAGCAACGGATTCCTACTGGTATTTGCTCCAATGTTCCGCTTGACCAAGACATTATATCTGGGATTAGCGTTTCAAAGTTTCCAACATATTCTGCGTCTGGTATGCGATCAGGCACGTCCGATGAATGTGTATAACCTTCCAATGTGTCCAGTATATATTGATGACGTGTCCTATAACCGTTTTTGGCCAGTTCGCCTAAAGTAAAGAGCGGTTCGGCTGTAAGCGCCGCCTCATATCTTAAATATGTTTCAATGGGCCTTGGATGAAGTAGTACACATGGCACCACTTATACCCAAGCAGCATGTACGCTGAACTCCCTGTAGTAGTTTGATGTTACACTTTTTGTCCATAGCAGTCCACCAGATTATTGAAGCATAAGCTAGAATTGGCCTAATTACACTTTTATAAAGCCAATTTGTCATAGTAGGACTAAGACCCCATTTCATTCCTATGGTTCTCCTACATATCGCCCAGCACCGATGTGCCTTGTTGATCCTATCCTCTATGTGGTGTCTCCATTTTAATTTCCGGTCAAGTATTACACCTAAGTACTCAACTTTGTCTGTCACCGGTATCTTCTTGCCCAGGAAGCAAGGTTCAGTATACTTAGACAGTTTTGTCTTTCTTGTGAAAAGACAGATTTCCGTCTTCGCCGGGTTAACATTGAGGCCTCTCGATTGAGCCCAGCGCTAGGCCGTATTCAGTGCCTCCTCAGCTCTTCTACACAAGTAATTTGGATCCTTTCCCTTTAAAAGTATTACGACAGTAATGGTGACAAAATGCCACCCTGTGGCATACCGCGAAATACCTTTTTCCTGATAGTTATATCGTACATCTCGCAGCTTATCCATCTGTTGCTTAGCATGTTGTTGATCAGTTACGGAGCATCCGATCAACATAAAACTGATCTAGGGATTGGATAAGGGTATCAGTGTGCACGTTATTGAAAGCGCCTTCGATGTCAATGCATACCGCCAGTGTATACAGTTTGCTATCGAAAGATTCACCTATGTAGTGGACAACTTCGTTTAAAGCGGTTTCCACCGATCGTCCCTTTACATAAAGCATGCTGCTTATATTTAAGGTATATATTGACGATGTCTTAGCCGGAGGTCACACAATTGAGGAAGCTAAAAAAGCTCAATCCCAATTGATCGCGGCTCATGACTCTGCTGGTTTTCCTTTGAGAAAGTGGATTTCCAATACAAAGGAATTATTACAAAATTTACACGAAGAACATCTACTCGATGTTGATTTACTTACCCTACCCGAATCAAATAATGCTAAAACGTTTGGCATTCGTTGGAATGCTAAAGAAGATACGTTTTTCTTTAATGTACCCTTAATTGAGAGAAAATCAGCATACACAAAGCAAACTGTGTTATCAGACATTGCTCGTCTTTTTGACCCAGCTGGTTGGTTAGCGCCAATTGTTATATCTGCCAAGATTATTATGCAGCAAATTTGGCAAGATAATACAGCTTGGGATGAATGTCTTAACCCACTCACCCTTATAAAATGGCAAAAATTTTTGCAGTTCTACGATAATATTAATCGAATTCGTATTCCAAGATGGATTAACTTTTCACCTTCAGCAAAAATTGAGTTTCATGGCTTTTCAGATGCTTCTGAAAAGGTATACTCTGCATGTTTATATGCACGAGTAATTCCGTAACCCTACTCTTCGCTAAGACGAGACTTGCGCCAATCAAAGTAATCTCGTTGCCAAAACTTGAACTTTGTGGTGCAGTGTTGTTGGCAAATATGACACATAATTTACTCACCCAACTCAACCTACTCTTACATCATACGTATTTCTGGACCGTCTCATCTATAGTTTGGCCTGGCTTAGTAAACACCCTTACTCGTGGAACACATTTGTGGCAAACAGAGTTTCTATTATTATCCAAACAGTCGGTGTTGACAACTGGAACCATGTGGCTTCACACGATAACCCTGCCGATGTTCCTAACCGAGGATGTAATGCTGATGAGTTGAAGGATGACACTTTATGGTGGAATGGACCATCGTGGTTGAAAGAAGTCGCGTCGATGTGGCCAACAACAAATAATCCCTTTATTACTCAAGCTGAAGCTAAAGTTAGTCAGTCGTTTACTACGACCGTTAATACCCACTCTTCCTTGGTTAATACTAATACTGAAAACCCAGATATATTATCAAGATTTTCGAAATTGTCAAAAGCTCTAAGAGTAATGACCTATGTCTATCGATTTTGTGATCGCGCGTCCTACACCCGTAGAAATACAATTCGAAATGATAGAGTTATTCTGGATCGAAATAACCCACAACTAGTCAATGATAGACTACGTTTATTAACTACCTACCCAAGTATTGAACTTGATGCGTCAGAGATCAAATCTACCCGTGATATGTTGAGAATAATCCGATCAGGATATTGGATTCCAAAAATTAAGAATCTGATTAGTAATGTTGTTAACAAATGCTTACCCTGCATAAGATATAGGAATAGACAAACAACCCAATTTATGGCGGCGTTGCCACCAGAAAGAACCCAAATAGATAAAGCTTTTACAAATGTTGGAGTTGATTTTGAAGGACCATTTGACATCAAAGCATACAGTGGCAGAACTTGTAAAATAACGAAAAGTTAGGTTTGTGTTTTTGTTTGTTTTGCAACAAAAGCCATCCACTGGGAGCCAACATCTGATTTGTCTACTCAAGCCTTTATGGCAGCCTTCGCTCGATTTTTTTCGAGGCGGGGATGCCCTGTCTTCATTTACTCTGACAATGGAACAAATTTCATAGGTGCTAGCAAGTTATTGAAAAAGGAGCGACAGGAATTTATCAAACAGCTAAAAGGATCTGTAACGTGTACTAGCATTTTATACCCCCAGGCGCACCACACATGGGCGGTTTATGGGAGGCAGTAGTTAAAGGCTATAAAGCTCATTTGAAGAAAATAAATACCCTAAAATATACATTTGAAGAGCTAGCTACACTCCTTGCCAGAATAGAAGTATGCCTAAACTCGAGATCCTTAAGCCCATCAAGTGAAAATCCACAGGATCTCAACCCGTTAAAACCTGGACACTTTTAAATTGGCTCACCCATACTTACCCCTGCAGAACCCGACACAAGCAGTGATAATATAACCCTGGCAAACAGATGGCAAAAATTAAAGATAAAACATTACATCTTTAGTAAAAGATGGAAAGATGAATATCTTAAAGAGCTCCATAAAAGATATAAGTGGAAAAACCCTACCCGAGAAGTTGAAATAAATGATATTGTAGTAATTAGACAAGACAATTTAGCACCCAATGAATGGTTACTTGGACGTGTGACCAAAACACACCCTGGTTATGACGGTAGAAATAGAGTAGTTGACTTATAAACTTCAACAGGAACTCTAAAACGACCAATTACTAAAATTGTTGTTTTACCAGGTAATTAGTTTAATACTTTTACTCGAACCATAACCCAATATAACAACATCGTTAATTATTCCAACTAACCCATACACTAACCCAAATATATTATGAATAACATTTAACACTTCACCCTAACACACTAACTCATACATAATATTTAATTTCATAACCCATTTTCTATTTCTACACAGAATGGCACCCAACAATAAGCATGGTTCAAAGTCCGGACGTTCTGGCCATCGCAATGAGCGCTCCCACAAGACAAACGTTTCTCGCAAAGGAAACCGAAATCATCATCGCCATACCGAGCCCACAAAACATTTTGGTTGCGGCATCTGTAAAGCTGACCACCGTTTGACAAACTGCCATAAATTCAACAAAATGAATTTGGCGCAGAAGTATCAAACGGCAGTCAGCCTACATTATTGCGTGAATTGTTTGGCGAGAAATCATTTAATAGGCAGCTGCACCAGCAAGGCTCGTTGCCAACAATGTGGTGGTAAACACCACTCCACCCTGTATGGTCCAAATAGGATCTTAAAGAATTTGACCCAAGACCAATCCCCTCCACCAACTTCGGCACCAAGAACTCCACCCACACCAGCTCCACGACGATCATTAGACATCGTGAAAGTTACCACACCGGTAACAACGTCGATGATGAAAACGTTTGTTCCTACAGCAGTTCTGCAGTTAGGAAGTCGGCGGGCAAGTGCAATACTAAATCCTAGCAGCCGTAATAATCCCAGTAATAACATACAAAAAATAACGTATCAGAAATACATTTATTATTTAGTACCTTTTGAGTGTGTATTTTTGTGAATCAACTAACACATTCTCACCAGTTACCCCCTGTCTATATTAGACAAATATTTATTATGTTAAACGTCAAATTGTTATCATAATAAAAAACAAGCAAGAGTGCTATATTCGGCTGTGCCGAATCTTATATACCCTTCACCATAGTGTATTTAAAAAATATAAATTTTATTTTATTTTATTTTTTTTTAAATTTATGTACCTATTTAATTTTCCCGATTATATAATTATTATAGCAATAGCAAAACAAAATGAACAACAACAACGCTAAACGAAATAAACACTCAAAAAAGAAAATACACAAGGCGTAAAACCAACAGACATCCAAACATACGAAACGAAATACACAAAAAAACAAAAACAAAATACACAACGCAATGAAACCAACAGACATCAAACATACGAAACTGTACACCTACAAACAAAAATCATATACACAAGGCAATGAAACACACAGCCATCCAAACATACAAAACTGAATACACCAAGAAACAAAAACAATATACACAAGGCAATGAAACACACAGCCATCCAAACATACGCGAACGAAATACTCGGAAAAAAACAAAAACAAAATACACAACGCAATCAAACCAACAGACATCCAAACATACGAAACTGAATACACCAAGAAACAAAAACAATATACACATGCCAATGAAACACACAGCCTTCCAAACATGTGAAACGAAATACTCAATGAATAAGCAGTGTTGTTGTTGTTGCTTATTAACCAAAGCATGAAAAAAATTGTCTTTTTTATGAAATTTTCAGAGGTTGTCTCGGATTTTTGCTTATATCTCCGTCATTTACGGACCGATTTTGCTGATTTTAAATAGCGATCTTCTCGAAAGCATGTCTAACAGAATTATTGAAGATTCGGATCTCGCCGATATCTGGGGTCCTCTAAAAACTGATTTCAACAGACAAACAGTCGGACAGACAGACGGACATGGCTTAATCGACTCCGCTATCTATAAGGATCCAGAATATATATACTTTATAGGGTAGGAAAATTATATTATAGAAATTACAAACGGAATGACAAACTTATATATACCCTTCTCACGAGGGTGAAGGGTATAATTAGCAGGTATAGACGGCATTTATTAGCGTTATAACGCCGTTATGACAGTGTTGTCTAAACAATTGTTTAGACAACGATGTCTTGATAACAAACGTCATTTTATTGTAAAATTTGTTTAGAATTTTGTTTTTGTGCGATTAAAATTGATTTTTAACATTAGTTTTAGTGAAATTAGTGTTTATTTACAAAATTTGCATTTAATTTTAATTGTTTTTATAAAATATAGCATTATTTCAATAAAATTATCTGTGAGTTGTCGTGAGAAAATCAGCGTTTTGTTACCCCTATGTATTAACATAAACAATAAACTGACAATTTTTCTGCCGACGTTTTGTCAAGTGCCGTGATAAATATTTGTCTAATATAGACACGGGGTTAGGTTTTTGACAGGGGACTTAGGTCTCTGACAATCACTTTCGCCTAAATGCTACTATATGGTTTAACCCACTAAAACGTATACCTATAATTTAGAAAATACTAAAACTTTGAATATTTAAATCCCTAAATTTAACAGTAAAATTTTCAACCAAAATGCATTTTATTATATTAGTAAAAAATATTATATTTAACTAAAATTTTCATACAACTATTATCATATTGATCTCTTTTACTCTCTTTTCTATTAATAATCTAATATTATAAAATATAATAAATGCTTCCAACACCTTTTTATTGGCCGACAATATTATATAAGATTTAGCCTCGTATATAAATTTGTACTTACCTAAGTTCTTGTCTTCTGAAATGTTTTACAATCCCAAAAAGTAAAATTTATCGCACTATAGCTACTTGTGATGATAAATATGGATTATATTCAAAAATATGTTGAAAATATAATTTGCAGTAAATTATTATATTGTACGGAATACTGTAAACACATTTTCAGTAATCAGTAAAATACTGCATTTTTTTGCAGTAACCAGTAAATTTATTGCAATTTTTTGCAGTAATCAGTAAAATTTACTGAATACTGAAAATTTTTTCAGTAACTAGTAAAAACTTACTGATTTTTTTTTCAGTAATTAGTAAAACTTTACTGCCTACCGAAGTTTTTTTCAGTAAACAGTAAAAACTTATTTTTACTGCATTTTTACTGGTAGTGCAAAGTGCCCATCTATGCTTTTAGGGTAGCAAAGCACACTGGCTATAGCTAGTTAACTTATAAACACAAATATCGCGATGAAATTCAGCACAATAAAATATTATGTAAATATAAATATATTCACAAAATTTTATCGGGCTTGGTTTATATTTGCCCCTAGCCCCCATATAAAGCCTCTTTCAGAAAAATAGTTTTTCATCCATAAATTGCTTAAATGTATCGGAAAAAGGTAATATTGAAGATAAATGCTTTATTATGAAAAATAAATAAAATTTAATATTCATAACTGGTGTAGGGTATCATATGGTCAGCCACGCCCGACTATACTTTCTTACTTGTTTATTATGGATAAATTTTGGTCCCGTCCCTTTACTCAGGCGTGAGGAGTACTCTTAATTTTTACAGGGTAAAATAAATATTTTTATATAATACTAGCTGGCCCGACAGACGTTGTCCTCTCCAAATTAGAAAAAATGTTTATGTTCGATTTGTGATTTTAGATAAATCGAAAAAAGTGAGCTTGAAAGTGGGCGTGGTCAATTATTCTTTCAGTAAAACTTTAAATTTGATTACTACGAACATGTTTTAAAAAATTTAGCCAAATCGGTGCAGCCGTTTTCCGATTTTAGATAAATCGAAAAAAGTGGGCGTGGTAAATTTTTCTTTCAGTAAAAACTTAAATTAGATTACTACGACCATGTAAATAAAAAATTTTGCCAAATCGGTGCAGCCGTTTTCCGATTTTAGATAAATCGAAAAAAGTGGGCGTTGTCAATTTTTCTTTCCGTAAAAACCTAAGTTGGACTATGACGAACATTTCAGTAAAAAAATTGTCAAAATCGGTCTAGCCGTTCTCAACTGATGCAATTACCAACGAACGACAATTGATTTTTATTTATATAGATTCTTACCCCCTTATAAATGAACACTATTTTATTTTATAAAAGATTTATAAATCAAATTTCGTCTGGAAATTTTGTTTTATAAACCTTTTAAAAAATAAAATTTTGTTTATGCATAATCTTAAAATACAGATTATTTAAGTTATCCTTAAATTTATAAAAAAGTAGTCAGTTAAAAATTGGTAAACAATTTTGTTATAGTTATAAATTAAGTTTTACATAAATTCCTCGGATTTGCGAATGAATTTTTCATTCCCATTTCCTTTTAAATTAAAATGTCTGGGAATTCCCAAACACTAAGGTCGAAATACATACAATACTTTACTACGAACTGTGTTTAATTGTGATTTGTGTGTGTTTTCACATTTTTTAATTAAATATTTTTTTATATTAAATATTTTAAATTAAATACTTTTTATATTATTAAAACATATTTAATTATTTGTTCATACTGTTGGGCCACAATGGGTTTTTTTAATATTTATTTTGTTTACCCTTTTTCTCTTTTTAATTATAATAATGAATTGAATTTAATAATAATAATAACAATAATAATATAATAAATGAATTTAATAATACTTACCTTTACTTACTTACCTTTACTTACTTACCTTTACTTACTTACCTTAGTTTTAAGTTATGTAGTAAACCCTTACAGCTTACATGTTAACTGTAACGGGTTTGCTGAAAATAATGTATATAGAAAAAAGTAGGCTTTTTATTTTTACATAAAAAGCAAAATAAATACTTACTTGCGAAGTAAACATAAAACCTTACGGTCGTTTTTTATTTAGACAATTTTCACCAGTGCCCAAATTTTTAAATTATAATTTATTTAATTTAATTTTGTTTTTTTTTTTTTTAATTTCTTAAAAAATATTAAGAAAGAACACATACTTTATCAACGCAACGATTGGGTATCGCGTAGCTGTCTGTCGCAGTTCGTCGTAAAGTATTGTATGTGTTTGTACCTTTACCCGTGTCTATATTAGATAAATAGTTATTATGCTAAACGTCAAATTGTTATCATAATAAAATGCTGATTTTATCACGACAACTCACAGATAATTTTACTGAAATAATGCTATATTTTACAGAAACAATTGAAATTAAGGGCACATTTTGTAAATAAATACTAAAACTTATGTTAAAAATCAATTTTAACTGCACAAAAACAAAATTCTATACAAATTTTACAATATCAAGACAACGTTGTCTAAACACTGTCATTGTATCATGATAACAATTTGACGTTTAGTATAATAAATATTTGTCTAATATAGACACGGGCTTAACATAAACAAAAAACTGACAATTTTTCTGTCTACGTTTTGTCAAGTGCTGTGATAAATATTTGTCAAATATAGACACGGAGTTATTGACGAGTAATAGCAATGAATTCGCGAATGGTTAGAAAACGTGAATGGTTTCTTTCTGTTCTCTGGTACATATATCGATATTTATATGAGCTTAGGGGAACTTTTAGGAATAAGGTCATATATGGAAAACAAGATGAAAACAACATTTTAAGATTAATAGATTTAAACCGTTTGTAGAATATACAATCTGATTCTGGATTGAATCTGATAAATTACTAGTTTCTAGTTTAAATATAAAAAGCGTAATATACAAAATTCTTAAAAATATTGATAATCGACTTATCGACTAAATGTTCATCGGTTTAAATCGGGTTTTTTACACTGGTGAACTCGGTTTTTTGAAAATTGCCTTTTTCAAGATATCGAATAATTCGGTTTTTTAATTATAAAATACCGTTTTTATATATTTTTGCAATACAATAATAGAAATATTCAAATATTTTTGTAATATTTTTATATAAATACTAATTTTTTTACCTGGCGTTGCTCGGAGTTCTAAGTGGTTTCATAAAATTATACATATTTGTTCAATTCACAATCAAGTTGTATATTGTACCTACTAAAGTGTAGTAACAGTGATTGTGAACAGATCTTTGCAACAAGTCATAAGTTTATGTTCCTAATTAAAAAAAAAAACAATCAAAACAAATATAGATAACAATGTCAAAAGATAAAAAAAATCAAAAAATATTAAATTAATTAAACATGGGAAATAAACCAAATTAATTTCTTTGAATTTTCAATTCTTTTATTTTCTTTATTCCACATTTTAAACTAATAAATAAACTGTTTTTAATAAAATTTTAGTTTTTTTGTTTTGGTAAACAGCTGTTTGTTTTTGATTTCAGTGTTACCACTTTATTGTTTTTTGTGCTAAAATCGTTTGCATTTTTGGTTTATATGTTGAAATAAACAACTGGCAACACTAAAATTTCTTACAACATTCGAAAAACATATGAAAAATTGTCGTAGGAGTTGTATAGAGCTTTTGCATAGAAAATACCAACAACATTGTTATGACTATTGTAGCAGCTGCTGACATACAACGCATACAACGCTACAACATCGATTGTGAATTGAACAATTATATTTTTCCAACTTTCAAAACATTTATTTCCGAAAACAAACATTTTCCTTCCTTTACTCCTTACTAAGAGATTTTTGGAAAATACTTCACAAATAAATATTTTGTCAATTTATAAAGCTACAAATTTATTTGCTTTAGATCAATAGAAAGAATAAACAAAAAATTGCAAATTACAACTCTCTTACTATCCTCTAGTTATACTCTGTTTCCACTGGCTTGAAATCTACTAGATTTGCTTAAACCTCTTCAAGGTGTTTCCACCGAGCTTACTAGTTTTTGATATTCAAATTTTCGAACAAATCCCGTCATTTTATTTTGATATAACGACAGTAATGTTAATTTCTTTCAAATTTAAACATTAACCCCCTTATTCACAAACAACATTTTTATTTTATAAAAGGTTTATAAAACAAAATTTCCATAAAAATCTAATTTATAAACTGTTTATAAAATAAAAATTTTGTTTGTGAATAAGGGGGTAAAAATACAAAATTAAAGTTGTAAAAGTATAAATTTGTTTATTAAATGCCACTAATTTTAAAATTATAATTTGTTGTGTTTTTATTTCAAAATGAAAAGTCACTTTATCGATGAAAACATTCAACTTGAATGGATAGCCTATAGTTATATTTGCTTATCCTAGACACAATGCAGTGTTGTATAAGCAAGTCTTGTTCGAAAAAATACATTTTCGACATGTTTTAAATCAAATCTAGTAGATTAACTAGATTTGTATTTGTCAAAAATGTATGGGAAATCTACATGATTTCAACTGGTTTTGAACCAATCAACTAGATTTGCTCAAAACGCCTTAGTGGAAACATAGCATTAGCTACAAATAAAATATATTTACCCTAAGATAAAAAATATTTTTTTACTTAGAAGAAAGTGTTAATTTTTCTCTTTCTTTTCGAAAAATCTGTTTAAATGGCATTCCTTATAAATTCTATATGTCGTCCAAATTTCATAAAGCTCGATTTAACCGTATTGTTTGAATTTACCAATAGAAAAATATCAATAATTTCATTAAATAATTTATTTTTCACATTAAAAAAAAATAAATTAGTATGGAATAAGGATATTAATTCCTTTAGAAGAAAAAGTGGTAAGTTTTTGGCAGATCACGGAAAAATATTTATCAAGCATTTACATATTTATGAAATTTCATAAAAGTACAAAAAAGTAGCAAAAGAACACACCAGTTTTTGTCCGTTTAGTTTGAATTTGGGCTTTCGAAATATACATATTTCTGAGACTATAAAAATCATAGTCTAAAATACTAATTTTGTCCGTTTTTCGCCTTTGACCTTTTTTGTCCTCTTTTGTTCCAACTTTTGCAACGGAATTTTTCTAAACTTTTAAAAGCTTAATCGAAAATGTTTTCGCCTAAGTGTTGACAATTATCAGTGATTTTCCGTTTTTCAACAATTTTACCCTCTTTGTTCCCTTAAAGTCCAGGTTTGAAAAACAATTTAACTATGTTCCAAATTTGTGTAAAATCGGACCAGCCGTTTACTACAAGACTGACATTCAAAATAAGTTTTTTTGAACTATTATTTTCGGTGTGAGATTGATTTTTTGTTGTAATGGTAAAAACTAAAACTCATGTTTTCAAGTATATTAGATAAATAAAAATTAAATTTCGTTTCAGATCAGAAACATATTATCCTCTACCATCTAAAGCCCCGTTTAGACGAGCACACAAGTAATATGATCTGTCAAAATTTTGTGTAGAAGAGAACGGATAGGATCGTCTAATTGCAATATCATGATACAATTAATAAGGTAGCCTCGTCCACACAGCTGATCATCAGCTGTTACAATCTTATCTGTCAAAATTCCTGTTTTTACATCAAGAAAAAATATAGATTTACATAGTTAGTTTATTACCCAAAATCTTGGCAGCGGACCGCCGCTGTAAAAAGGCCCTTCTACCGGGAGTGATGTGACTGGGGGTCTTATCTGCCAAGATGGCCTTGGGAGATGTGTTTGAGAACCCGAGGCATTGGTAGTTCCCAAAACAGAGGGTTTTATCGGCTTTTTGCCAATATGGGCCTGAGCTGCTAGTGAGGTACTTGCGGAGAAGTCCAGAGGTACCTCGCTGCTTCTTTTACTGCATCCAGCTTTGGAGCTAGATGCTGGTTTTGTGCTGCGACTGACGGATTCAGGCTTCCCTAAATCCGCACTCACTGTGGCTTTGGCACCGGTAGCCTTTAGACTTGTCCGATCCGATCTGAGTGGCAGTAGAATTCGACTCACCACAGCCTGTCGCCGTCGCCTTAGGGGTAGGGTCTCCGGGGATTATGAGGCCCCTTGCCGGACATTTGAACGATTAAACAGTTGTGTATTTTATACTTGCTGCCAAGTATAGTGTTCTGCATTTGGTGTTATTGCAGACCACCTAGTCGCCCAATATGGGAAACAGACGCCGTTGGATTTTGAAAAATACGGACCATTGAGAGGTCCCATCACAATGATGAGGATAGCCTTCTGACAGATGCGAGAACTGATAACTGCCCCATCGGGGAGAAACAGACGCTACCAGTCGTGGGATGGGTAGTTCTTAGTATGTGCTCGTCATGAGCCCCTCTGGCATGGGTGGCCCTACCAGCACGGCCTACTTGAGTCATCACACATAAGCCATCGCATCGCATCAAGTCGCTCCATAATAACTTCCAAATATCTAAGGAAGATTTTTTAAATAGATATATTTCCATAAAGAAACAAATTTAAATCTAAAATATTTCATAAATTGATATTAGTAAAGTCTAAAAGAAATTTACAAATTAAAACTATTACTTTTAATTAAAATACCACCATTTCAAAAATAAATATCGGCAATTTTTTCCTAAAAAGTCGGCATTTGCCGGCACTTACATTTTAAAAATCGCCAATAAATCGGCAATTAGAAAAAACAGTATTTTGAACCAATGAAACATATCACAAATTAATTTAAAAATCGCAATATTGTTTTTACATAGTGCCGGTCCACACACAGCAACTTTAGTTAAGAAACTTTTTCTTGATTCTCTTTTAAAGTTTCCTTAATGTCTACACATAGAAACTTCTGTTTCAGAAACTACGTGTTAATTGCATTGATTTGTTTTTGTACGAAAACAAAACGCGTTTCCGAGTACGAGAAACTCCGTACCGCGAGAGAGATGAATGATATTTCTTTCTCTCTCACGCAAAATCAAAAGTTTCCCAAAAATAGTTTCCTAGTGTGGACCGGCAGATACATAACGCAGGGAATTTTTATTAAGAATTGGTCTAATAAAAAGGAAAACCGAAACTTTGTTTTACTGGAATAAACTCGATTAGAATTTGTATCACTTTTGTAGAAAAATTTTAATTTCTAATTATTTCTAGAATACTATCTTGTAAAATATTTTAAAATTTTGTTAATGAGTGATGTAGTTATTTCATATATTACTTGGCAATGATACATTGTTTTTAATAGGATTTTTAACCAATTGTCTAGAGCGTATGTCTAATAAAGAATTAGTTGGTGGTTCTAATCCTAATTGATATTAGAAGTTTTTTGAAAAAATATAGTTTTTTGCAGTTTTTTTTAAACCATTTCAAATGGCACGATAAAATAACTTGTTAATGGAGCATTGAGTAAGAGAATAGACTAATAAACACAGAAAATAACTGTAAAGCCGGCTTGAAATCCGGGAATGTTGTTGAAATTATTGAAAGATTTTTGTTCAAAATTAGCTTTTCCACAAAATGTGTAAATTTATTTTCGAACCTTAAAAAAACTTTAGCATTCTAAGATTAGACTTTTGGAAACCTATTAAGGATTTTCATATATAAATCGTGTTTCCTTTTCATAATATACATAAGTACATCTCGATCCAATTGACTTTTCTGATGTAGCATATTGTGTTTTACATGTCATTTTTGCTTTTGTGAAGTTTAGTTTTGACAATAAATTCGTTAGAATTTCAAAACAATCAATAAATATTACGAAATTACATTATTTTTTGAATTGGGTAGAAAATCGGCATTTTTGAATAAAAAATTGAGAAATCGGCACTCTAATATTTTTAGGGTAAAATATCGGCGAAATGCCTATAAATCGGCAAATCTGGCAGGCCTGTATGAGAGTACAAAATGTTCTATTTTCTTATTTTTTCCTTCTGCAACAACTGACCAATCATATTTGTCGCCAGGCTCTGCTCTAGAACGATGAAACTCACAAAAAAATTTATGACATCCGATTTCTATATTTCTAACACAAAGTTCCTTATGGGTTTTTATCGTGCACAAGATAGTCCGATAGCAGTTATATAAATTGCTGTAGTACAGAAAAAATGTATGACGTTCGATTTTTATATTACCGACTTCAAAGTGTCATATAGGTTTTTATTGTGCACAAGGTACCCTACTGGTGTAGGGTATCATTTCTTTTAATTTTATTTATTCTTTATTGAATATTTCTTAAGCTGAAATTTACAATAATTATTAAAATTTAACCTAAAACACAAGTTCTCGATTTGATTATCTGGCAAGATCTAGGGTTTCCATTCTCTTCAGTCGTCTAGGACCCTAAAATAGCAGCAACTCCCTGGCAAGGGGATTTGGGTAATCCAATAGTTTCGATAGGTAGGTTAAACTGGAGAGTTTGATCTCCTCACGTATAATTGGGACATTGAGATCCCTGTGAACATTACTATTGTGAATGTACCACGGGGCACCTGTTATTGTCCTTAACAGTGCTGACTGCTTTCTTTGCAATTTTTCTACATTAGATAAGAATGCTGTTCCCCGTATAGCATAAAGGTATCATATGGTCGGCCATGCCAGACTATACATTCTTACTTGTTAACCCTCGTCTAGATAAGATCAATTTTTATTATTCTAAACGTCAAATTGTTATTATGATAAAACATTAGCACATGCAGACGGCATTTATTAGCGTTATACCATCATTATAACAACGTTGTCCTGATAACAAACGTCATTGTATTGTAAAATTTGTATAGAATTTTGTTTTTGTGCAATTAAAATTGATTTTTAAAATAATTTTTAGTAAAATTAGTGTTTATTTACAAAATTTGCATTTAATTTTAATTGTTTTTATACAACATAGAATTATTTCAGTAAAATTATCTGTGAGTTATGGTGTTAAAATCAGCGTATGCATTAACGTAAACAAAAAATTTACAATTGTTCTGCCGATGCTTTGTTAAATGCTCAAATATGCAAATATTTGTCTAATATAGACACGGGATTACGGTGGAGGTACACAACTCGCGTTGTACGCGGCAACGCGTTATATGATTCTGTCAAAAAAAGTTGAAATAGTGTGTTTTCATTTAACAAGTTACGCACTGTAGTTTGTAACGCGTCTGCCGCGAAAAGTTCAACAACAACAACTTTTGACGCGTCGGCAGCTGATCAGGGTTGTATTTTGTTTTGTGTAGAATAAGAATAAATTAAAATGAAATAAATTTCATCAACAATGAAAGAAAAAATTTTAAAAATAAACAAAAACTTAAAATTTTGATTTTTAAAACAGTAATAGTTTTAAAAAAACGTTAAAAGAAAGATCAAAATGACGTGTGGCGTGTAATTTGCAGCTTGTAAAGCGCTAAAAATTTGAAAAGGCGCAAATCGCGCTGCCGCCCCAACGCGTGTTGTGTACTTCCACCTTTAAGGATAAATAAAGTCTTATTTTAATCAAATTATAACAAGTAGTCCGATTCTCACATGTAGGAAATTACTCTCTCACATCTACGAGTAACGTGTGAGTTCTACTCTCTTGTGAGAAATTTAAAATTGTCAAAACATTCGAAAGTTTATCTCACTTTTTTGACAGCTTTGAATGGCCGCACGCGAAATTGTAGTTATCCACAAAAACTACAATTTTTTAAAATAGTTTAAACCCATTTTCTGCTTAATATTTTGTTTATTTTCTTAAACTGGAAAAAATATTTTTTCTAATTATTAAAATTTAATTTTTTGTTGTTGTTGAATTTTAATTTACGAACAGAGTTTAAATTTTTGGTATTGAAAATTCAAACAAATTTAAAATTCTAATTTTTTATAGAACTCTGTATGTTGAAAAAGCACCAACAAATATACGTTATTGTTACTAACACATATTTAGAGTTATGTTCTTTTTTACAAACACATGTTTAGAGTTAGGCACTGATGTCGAAGAGTCGAACTACTTGTTATACTTTGATTTTAATAAAATTTGGTGGGAATATTATAGCCCATTTACACTACAACTAGTTGATTTTAACTAGATTTCCCATACATACATTACATACATAGATTTCCCATTGCATACTTCGTAATGCGACTGTTTTTTTCCTAAATAATACTAAAAAATACGAATGCATAAAAAAAAAGAAAAACAAAAAATTAAAATGTTGACAAAATTTTTATAAATTGAAAAACATGAATGAAAAGTTAATTTAAAATAAAAAAACTTTTTCGAGAAATATTGGACAAAAATTAAATCTTCCTAATTGTCAAAAATAGTAAGTGTAAACGGTTTAGATTTGTAAAAAGATTTTAAATGAAATCTATTAGATTTCGTGTATGTGTAAATGAGGTATTACTCTAACGGTCTTAACCGTTATGTCAATACCCACATACCCGGGTATGTTTTTCATTTTTGAAGTGATATATCTTGAGATCTATATATCGTATCGACTTGAAATTTCTATCAGGGAAATGTTTTCTATAAATTTCCAAAAATTAGCTAGATATATATTTTCTAAACCGATTTATGACTGATTTTCTACTTTTACCTCGTACATCAATACCCAAAATACCGGGGTATGCTTAAAATTATATGTCAGTTATCGGATAAAAATTAAGTTTCATTATAAATTTTAAGTTTTATAATTTGAATTATATATATCTTGTATCTTATCAAAAAAATTTTGAATTAAACAACAAACTTTGTTTAAAATACAGAGTAATATGTCATTGTTCATAAATTTGAATGTGAAATCCCTTTTTAGACTTGTAATATATACAAATATGAACCGATTTTAATGAATTGAATTTTTCATTGCATATGTCTTAGTAAAGTAAATTTATGCTTATTATAATAATTTTATTCTTATATAAACAAAAATATTAAACTTTGAATTTAAAGTTTTTCATTTTTGACCATGACTTAACAATCTTTTTCGCAAATAAATTCCCTACTAACGAAAAAAACAACAATTTATTTAATGATAATCGATTTTATATACCTCAATTAATAATATAGAAAAAATTTTGTTCAATTATCTTCCTCCATCTAAGAGTAATAGCTTCTTGAAATCAAAATTTTACAAAGTCAAATTCCACATAATGCATTATGTAGGGTTTTTTCTTGAGGTTTTTTGCATATAATATTTTTGTCAAGAGCAAAACAATGAGAAAACTTTTTAAAAAATGGCTAAAATTTAATGGTATGAGGTTAAAAGATATTTAATTTATTTTTACAGACGTGTTATTAAATTAGTTTTAATAATTATATAAATTATACACTAAAAATGTAAAAAAAAGATGGAACAGCCATACAATTGTATGACATGTTGGGTATTGATGTACGTAATTTTATATTTTACTAGCTATACCCAGTGTGCTTCGCTACCCTCATCGTAATGGAATAAAATAAATATTATTGTAAATGTATATATATCTGCAATATCAAAAAGTCCCCTATTTAAATTTATGTTTATATATTCAATATTTTAGAAAACTCAAAAAGTACCAATGAAGTACGAAAAAGTAACAAAAGACCTCTTTTATTTAATTTCATGTTCCTAAGTTCAATATTATAGAAAATTAAAAAAGTACCAGTTGAAGAACGAAAAATTACCAAAGGGTCCCCTTTTATAGATTCTCATTAACTCCGGGCTCCACATGGTTAATTTCATGTTATAAAAAACACAAAAAGTACCTTTTGAAGAACGAAAAATTACCAAAAAGTCCTCTTTTATATGTTCTCACTTACTCCGGGCTCTACGTACTTAATTTCATGTTTCTAGGTTCAATATAATAGAAAATTCAAAAAGTACCTTTTGAAGAACGAAAAAGTGCCGAAAAGTCCCCTTTTATAGGTTATCACTTAATCTTGGCTGTACTTGCTTAATTTCATGTTTCTAGGTTCAATATTATAGAAAATTCAAAAAGTACCTTTTGAAGAACGAAAAAGTACCAAAAAGTCCCCTCTTATAGATTCTCATTTACTCCAGGCTCTATATGCTTAATTTCATGCTTCTAGGATCAATATTATAGAAAATTCAAAAAGTACCTTTTGAAGAACGAAAAAGTACCAAAAAGTCCCCTTTTATAGGTCCTCACTCAATTCGGGCTCTACATGTTTAATTTCATGTTTCTAGGTTCAATATTATAGAAAATTCAAAAAGTACCTTTTGAAGAACAAAAAAGTACCAAAAAGTCCCCTTTTATAGTTTCTCACTTAATCCAGGCTCTACATGCATACTTTCATGTTTCTATTTTCAATATTATAGAAAATTCATAAAGTACCTTTTGAATAACGAAAAAGT